TCAGCGCCCACACAGGGGTGGGCAAGGGAGCTCGAACTTACGTTCAGTCTCCTAAGAATGGCCCTGAATGGGGCCATGTCGTGAGACGGGTGGCAATGAATCTTGACGGCAATGCTGCAATACAAGACATTAAGATTCAAGATCAACCTACCGGGTACAATTACAATGCACCTTTGCCGAACGGTGTGACGAATATTCGTAGTCGCTTGTGCTAGAAGCCTCCGGCGCCAGTCCATATCGGACACGAAGGCCAGCGACCGCGCCCAAAGCGGGTTGCGATCGTTGATGACGATCGTCTCCACCCCCCCTCGATGGAGCGCGGCCGCGCGCCCCCTCCCCCTATTCCCGAATTTCCGACACTTGCTTCACCCGACACAGAACAACAGACAGCGCTACCAACGGACGCCCGGATCCAGCAAACAGAAAATCGTAAAGCTGACCAAGAAGCCGGCATCAAACCACGCAAGATACCAGAAGTAGTCGAAGACGGCAGCGACGTGTGCGGCGAAGACCTGAAGGGTCTCGGATGCGGCGGTTCCTTCACCGACGCCCCCCTCGACACCGACGCCGACTGTGACGACGACGTGGGAACCTTCATTGCGTTGCCAGCGGGGCCACCTGCGGAGACACATGCCGGTGTGTTTTCCGCAATCCCATCCCGATGTCACGGGCGACATGACGAGGTAGACATGCTGGAAATACGTGGAAGAGATGGGGGAATATCGCAGACAGTTTTCAGTCGGGGCTTATCTTCTGCAGGCAACTGGTTGGGCGATCTTCGGGGGCACTTGGGCCGTCTCGCGCCGTCGGAAGGCCGAAGACAAGCAAATGCCACAATCCTTCAAAAACTCATGGGGGATCAATGAGTCTGGCCTTTTCGGGCCTTCCTGGAGGCCCTCTTGGAGGCCTCTTGGCCGTCTTGGGCCAGCTTCGAGCCGACTTCGGCCGCTTTGGTGGGCCCCTGGCCCTTCTGACGCCGTCGGGGGCCGTTTTGGGGCCCTCTCTGAGCCGACTTGGGGCCCTCTTGGGGTGCTCCAGGGCCGTGTTGGAGGCCATCTTGGGCGTCTCAAAAGCATCCTGGGCCGTCTTGGGGGCCATCTTGGAGGCCTTTTGGGCGATCTTTGGGCGATCTTTGGACGCTTTGGGCCGCGCCGGGCCGTCGGAAGAGGCCGAACCGAAGCAAGTGTCAAAATCAATCAAAATCCTAGGGCCATCAGTGTTTTTGGCCTTTTCTGGCTTTCTTGGAGGCCCTCTTGTAGGCCTCTTGGGCCGTCTTGGGCCAGCTTCGAGCCAACTTCGGCCATCTTGGTGGGCTCCTAGCCCTTCTGACGCCGTCGGAAACCGTTTGCGGGGCCTTTCTGGGCCGACTTGGGGCCCTCTTGGGGTGCTCGAGGGCCGTCTTGGAGATCATCTTGGGCGTCTTGGAAGCCTCTTGGGTAGTCTTTGTGCCCTCTGGGGTCCGTCTTGGGAGCCTCGTGGGCAGTCCTGAGGCCATCTTGGAGGCCTCTTGGGCGCGGTGGGGGCGATTTTGGGAGCTTCTTGGGCCGTCTTAGGTCGTCGGAAAGCCGAGAAGAAGCGAATGCCAACATCCATCAAAAAACCCAAGGAAAATCAATGATTTTGGCATCTTCGGGCCCTCCTGGAGGACCTGTTGGAGGCCTCTGGGGCCGTCTTGGAGGCCTCTGGGGGGCCTCCTGGCCCGCCTTGGGCCGTCTTGGATTCTCTTGGGCCGTCTTGGAGGCCGCCTTGGACCATCTTGGGCGGACTTGGAAGCCATCTTGGGCCGTCTTGGAGACCATCTTGGGCCAACGTGGCCATCTTGGAGGCCATCTTGGGCCATCTTGAGCGACAAATTGGGGAATTGTGCTCCTCCTTCCAGGTGGCCGGCGGGGCCGGCCGAAGCCCCAGGGGGGGCTCTTTTGGAAAAAGAACCAACACAGAACACCGAAGTCGTCTAGCACGTCAGGCACCCCTGCGATGAATCGACAGGGGGCGGCGGATCCCAGTGGCACGGCCCATTCCGCCACCGTGTCTTGGTTGTGGGTCTGAGGCGTCTTATATAAGCGGGGTGTCGTGGGGGGCCTCTCGGGGGCCTCTTGGGGCCTTGTGGGTTTTTCTTTGGGCCTCTTGGAGGCCTCTTGGGCGCTTCTTGGGGCCTCTTGGGGCCTCCTGGGTGCTGCTCGGGGCTTCTCGGAACGCTTTTTGGGCCATCTTGAAGCCCTCTCGGGCCGTCTTGGGGGCCTCTTGGAGGCGTTGGGCTGTGTTGGGGCGATCTTGGGAGCTTCTTGAGCCATCTCGAAGCAGCGGAAAGCCGAACGTGCGAGAACCCCAAAATCCTTGAACAACTTGTGTAAATTCGACGATGTTTGCTTGTTTGGGCTCTCTCGGGAGGCATCTTGGAGCTTTGGGGGCCGCTTAGAGCCCTCTTGAGCCGTCTTGGAATCATCTTCGGACGCCTTGGAGAATTCTTGGCTTCGGCAGTGCGCATATGGCCGAATGTGCGAGGGTTTATGGCCACGTGGACACAAGCATTGAATACTTTACGAGGGATGGTTGCCTCGGGGGCGCAAGAATTGAACAATGCTCGAGGGTGTGTGGCCCCCGGGGCGCGACGATCGAAAACTTTACAAGGGGGCTCTGGCTTCGGGGGCGCGATTATTGAGCAATTTGCACGGGTTTGCGGCCTCGAGGACGTGATTATTGTGTAATTTGAAAAGGATTCTGGCTTCGGGGGCGCGAGTGGTGCGTAACTTATCGGTGTAATTTCTGCACAGTACCCCGCGAATTTGGGTGGAACACCGGCAGCGCGGCCGGCCCAGACACCAGTGGGCTTCCCAGGTGCACGAGATGACGCGGCACATCTGAGGCTTCCCCCCCCGTCCTCGCCCCCCCCCCTCGCCCTGTCTTTTCCTTTTTCGTGTATCTCGCAGCAGTGTTGCGTTTCATCTTCTGCTTCATAGTCGCGTTGCACTCAGCTGCCTGCTTCGCAATCGCGGGGTGCTCCGCGTGCTCGCTCTCTGTTGTGAATTTTCAAAGAGTCGCCAATCGCGCGCTCATCCGCCCACGCGTCCCGCAGGATGCACGGCTTAGTGGTGGCGGTGGTGGTGGCCTCGGGGACGCAACGTTTTAGTCATTGACGAGGATGTGTTTCCTCGGGGGCGCAAGATTTTTAGACTCTGCGATGGTTGACGGCCTCATGGACGCGAGCATTGAGTGATTCACTACGGCTTTCTGCTTCGTGGACCCACAAATAAAAAAAAAATGCGAGGGGTACTGGCCTCGGGGGCGCGACTATAACACAATTGCATGGGGCCCTTGCATCGGGGGCGCAAGCGGGGCGCAATTCAGGAAGGATCGTGACCTAAGAGGGGCGAGCGTCGCGTACTTTACTGGGGATAGTGGTCTCGGGGGCGCGAGTGCGGCATAGCTTGCGTGGGATAGTGGCTTCGCGGGCGCGAACGTTGCGGTGCAATTTGTAAGGGATCGTGGCCTCGGGGACGCGAGCGTGGCTTAAACAACAAGCGATCGTGTCGTCGGGAGCGCGAATGTTGTGTAATTTACATGGGATCGTGGCCCCGGAGGTGCGAATGTAGTATAATTTGTATGAGATCGTGCCTTGGGGGGCGCTGGTACGGTGTATTTTGCAAAGGGATCGTGGCTTCGAAGAGGCGAACGTGGTGCAATTTGCAAGGGATCGGTGGCCTCAGGGGCGCGAGCGCTATATATTTTTCAACCGACTCGATAAGGGTAACTGAGTGGTTTTCGCCCCCCCCCCCTCGCGCGGATGTCAAACATTTACAGTAGGAAGCAGAACGCAGTACTGTATGATTGGAGGCCGGAAGCTGAAATTCGTGCAGGGCAGTGGAACCTGACTATATGTTTGTGTTGCGTGTTCCGACCCGAGCGTTAGTAGGCATTTCTGAATGGCGTTCCCGCTACAGCGTTGGCCCAATTGTTCCCTTTTCGGTCCTTCACAATCATGTTTCCGCTGTAGCGCTGATCTGGTTTTAGTGTTTCGGCTCTCCCAACTCGTGTTCCTGCTGCAGCGTTGGCTTCGTTTTCGCGCTTCCAGTCCTTCCAAATCGTGCTCACATTGCAGCGCTGGGCTCATTTCCGCGGCTTCGGTCCTTCGAAATCGTGTTCACGCTGCAGCGTTGGTCTCATTTTGCGCTTCCCGCTTTCCAAACCTTTCATTTGCATGTCCCGTCCAGTGTCATGTTTGGTTTCTCTCTGACCTTGTTGTCGAAACGAGTCGCATTCTCGACGCGGTGTCATGCCACGCCGCGCTGTACCAATCATCGCGTATCCTCTCGGGATCATTGCCCTGTCCGGTTTCCGACTGTGCGGAAATAGATGAGATCTACGCAATGGTAAGGGGCAGGGAAGGGTAGGCCGTCGGATATGACGGTTGCGCTTCCAGTTTGTCCTCATGGCCTCTCCTTCCTCCTCGCCCTCCCTCTCCTCTTCCGCGTTCCCCTCCTACGGTCGGTTCATGCGGCTCTGGCGCTCTGGCGACGCCGCCGAAGGCGTTCAAGGGTGAACTCTACATGATAGAACGACGCGGAAGTAACGCCATAGGACCCGACGGAATGCAACCTTGAACGCTCGGACCGTGATCGGTTCAAGGTTCAAGGTGCGCGCGCCGTCGGCGCACGAACCTACCGCACCCCTCCCCCGTCCTTCCACTCTCGCCCTTCATCCTGGCACCGCGCGGGCAGTCGTCAGCGGGCGTGCCTCCAGGGCCTGGCCGGGCGGGCCAGCCTTTTTTTCCGCCCGAGGATTCTCAAGCAGTGGCGAAGCGTTCTGGCTCGCCTGTAGGCCTACCGAAGCATGTTCTAAGAACTTTCTGTGGTCTGCGCGAAATGTTCCTCAGAATATTTGTGGCTCTGACTGTCTTGTTTTAGAACATCGGGCTTATATTCTAAGAACATTGATTTTGTTCTAAGAACATGTCGTGGTAGGCCTAAAGGAATGCCGGGACGGTCGGTCCCTGCTCAAAGGATCTGGACCAGCTGAAGTTCGACGTGGGGGAGCTGAAGGACCTGCTGAACAACAACAAGGCCCAGGGGCGAGGAGGGTCTTTGAGAGCTTCTTGGGCCTCCAGCGAGCTCGGGAAGCCCCTTCCTGGGGCCTCAAGTGATACCTTTGGAGGCCTCACGGGACCTCTGGGCCTCTTGAGATCTGCTGGCGCCAACATCGCAGACAAATTTCGTTCGGAAAACGATAGGGTGGGCCCGGGGTGTCCTGGAGAATTTCGTTCTTGATTTCGAACTGAATTTCGTGCGGATTCTTCTTGGCCAGAAACGAATCCGAAAACAAACATCCACGCGAATTCCACTTCGTTTTTGGCTCGCTGTTTCGGGGTCTTGCATCAGCAGAAGTCCACGCAGAAAACCGCTGCAGCTCGTCTGCAAGGCCGGTGCAGTGACAAGGGGGAGGAGGGTCTTTGAAAGTTTTCTAAGCCTCCGGCGAGCTCGGGAAGCCACCTCCAGGGGCCTCCAGTCAGGCGATCGCAAACATGGATCAAGGGGGCGTGGATTAGCGACGGGTCCCGTTTCCGCAGGAAATCGCGGATTTCCGCCGCCGACCGAGGCGGCACCGGCCGCATTCTGGGGAGGGTTCCTCCCCCGATCCACGGATTTGGCGACCGCGCGCCAATTCCGTGGATTAGGACAAGGCGTGTTTGCGCGCCCCCGATCCAGGGGTCCCCGGGGAGGCCTCTGGGGACCTGGGCCTCCCGAGATCTCGTCACGACCACATCCCGACGATGGCAAGTTTTCCCCCCGCGTTTGGGATTCCAGGGCTCCCCACCAGGGGCGGACTCTCCTGCTGCCCCTCCTCCTCGAGCCAGAAGGGGAAAAAATACAAGTCACAATTGACCGTCGACTCCCAGGAAGGTATGGAAAACTATGGGAAGTGGGGGGGAAGACGAACATCCAGAAAGCATGGACCAATATGGGGCATCCTGGGATTTGTGTGTACGTATTTGCGTGTCCCTGGGCCCCTTCATCAAGGTCACCTCCTCCCAGCTTCGCGGTGGGCTACCTGGGAGCAGGACTCGTTCCTCGGAGCCCAGGCCAGATCGGGCGCTCCCAAGCTCGGCATTGTGTGGCCGATCGTGAGGTCGAGAACTCCATCGCGGCCGCTGGTCCGTGGCGGTGGCTTGCTCAACGTTCCCATGGAAGGCGTCGAAGGCCAGCTCGAGGTCTCAGTCCGTTCAGGGCGGCCCGCCCGCCTAGTCTGCTGGGGCACAGCTGCCGCTGGGCTTCAGTCGGGCCTGTCCCTCTACAGGAGGAATATTCAAACATAGTCAAAAATAGTCTGGGGACGTTTTTTCCCGGAAAGGGCGTGGGCCCAGGGTTCTCTTTTAGGAAGGTAATCTGTTCCCGGTGCCTCAACTGAGATGGTTCGGCGGATTCTTTCCCTGATAAATATCGAGGTCGAGGTGGGCCGGCGGATTAAACTTTGAGGATGTCTCAGGCAAAACGCTTGTCTTTGAAATCCCGATCGATAAATCACAGGGTGCGGGCCACTCTTTCGTGTGTTGAGGATGTCTCGAGCGAAACGCTTGCTCCGCAGACCTCACCACAGCACGACCACACCCCAGCACGACCACGCCCCAGCACGACCACGCCCCAGCACGACCACGCCCCAGCACGACCACCCCCCAGCACGACTACCCCCGCAGCACGACCACCCCCAAGCACGACCACACCCCAGCACGACCACACCCCAGCACGACCACTCCCCAGCACGACCACACCGCCTTGGTTGAGTGGTTGCCTGTCGTCGTGATATGTTTCTTGGGGTGTCTCGTGGACTGTTTCGCGGGGTGTCTCGTGGAATGTTTCCAGGAAAACGTTGAAAACGGTCGCCCGTGTCTCGTGGAATGTTTCGCGGGGTGTCTCGTGGAAGTACCCGTCGCCCAATACGGTGTCGTGAAAACGTTTCCATGCATTCGGTTCTATATCCCTTTCCGGGTTCGTGGGTCCATCATGTTTTTTTGAGTTTATATATATAGATATATATATATGTATATCAATTATTCATTTCAAATCCGCCTGTAGGGCCACATGCCCGACCCAAGGCCAGCTCGAGGTCCCAGTCCGCTCCAGGCGGTCTGTCCGCCTCGTCTGCTTGGGCACAGCTGCCGCTGTGCCCGGGCTGTGGTCGCGGGACGAGGTCGCCACGGCTTCCGCTTCTGGCTCGGGTTGTGGGCGCTGCTTCTGTGTTTGCGGGTCGGGCTCTTCCTGGCCGCTGGTCCAGCCGTCTTCAGGGTGCATCGAAGAAGGTGCCGTCTTCGGGTGCGCGCGGATTTCTCGTATCCGCGCCGGAACCCCCGAGCCCGACTCGCAAGCACGGAAGCAGCGCCCACAGCCCGAGTTGGAGGCGGGCGGGGCCACCGCTGTCTTGGCCTGCCACGCCCTGCCGCGCTCAGCCTCGCTCGGCCTCGGCAGGCCCGCACGACGCCTCGCCGGGGCGCTCGCCGGCTCCTCGGGCGGCCCCGGCGGCGAAGCCGCCCTCTCCCCGGGAGGCTGGCCTGAGCGTCAGCCTGCGGGGGCGCGCGCCACCTCCCGCGCAACCAGGCGCGCGCCCCGCTGGTGACGGCCCCCGCTTCCCCTCACACTCACCGAGACAGAGTGAGGAAGAGAGAGAGAGAGAGAGAGAGAGATAGAAAGAGAGAGAGAGAGAGAGAAAACACATAGTAACTGTCACGCATAAGGAGGCGGATTGGTGTGGGGAGGTGTGCGTCGGAAGAGGTGGCTGAGGAGGAGCAGGAAGATGAGGCATCGGCGGAGTAGCCAGTTGATGATTATGATGACGACAGCGACGCTTATCATGAGTCAGATGGTGAGGATGTGTATGATGCGTGGCTGCGGTGAGGAGGAGAGAGGGAGGAAGATGGGAGCCTGGGGGGAGGCACGGCAGATGTTGAGGAGGACGATCAGATTGAGGACGGATGACGACAAGGGACGACGACTTCGATACAATACGGGGTGACGATGAGTTTGAGGGGGGGACAGAGGACACGTACCAAGTGGAGGAAGGAGTGTTTTGATGATGACGATGCTGATGCTGATGCTGATTATGATGCTGGCGATGAGATGGTGATGATGATGACGATGACGATAATGATGATGATGATGATGATGATGATGATGATGATGATGATGATGATTTTGAGAGTGGTGGTGGTGGTGGCGATGGTGGTGGTGATTGATGGTAATGGTGATGGTGATGATGATGGGGATGGTGGTGATGATGATGATGATCGTGATGATGATGATGAGGATGATGACGACGCGGATGATGATGAGGATATTGATGATGATGATGATGGTCAAGATGATGATGATATTGTTCTTGATGGTAATCATCAGGATGATGGTGATGACTTGCGATGATGATGACTATGGTGATGATGATGCTGATGCTTGTGCTGATGCTGATGTTGACGATGATGCTGAAGATAACGACGATGGCGATGATGCCGGTGACGATTGCGATGACGATGACGATGATGATGATGATGACGAGGAGGATGATGATGATGTTGATGATGTTGATGATGATGTGGATGATGATGTGGATGAGAATGATAACGATGCTGATGTTGATGATTCTTAGGCTTACGCCACACCGCCGACCCCTTGTTTATGCCAATCTGGGGGTAGTAGAAGCTGCGAAGGGGTGAAAAGGCGAGTGATATTTGTTTGGTGTCTGTTCGCCGCCACCGCCAGAGGGTCTCGGGCAGTTCCGCGGGGGGGTCCGAGCGGACGGCGACACCGCGGGCGGTCGTGGTCTCATCTGGGGCCATCTGAGAGGCATAATGGAGCCAGGTTGGGCTCGGGAATGTCTTCGAGCCGTTTCGGTAGCGGTCGGGAGTTTTTTTTGGGGACTGCCCAGGAGTCATGATGGGTCAACTTGGCCATGTGCGAACACGGAGAAACGGCTCTGGGTTATGGGTTAAGGGTGAGAGGCTTCTTGTATGTGTATCGGGATCTCGCGGATCGCTTCTCGGGGGCCTCTGGAAGCGAGTTTTGGAGCCACTTGGGGGCCGTTTCGGAGCCTCTGGGGTGCTTCTTGGGTGTTCCTTGGGGCGTCTGGGCGGCCTCGTGAGGGCCTCTGGGAGCCTCTTGGGGCAATCTTGGTGCCCTCTGGGGCTCCTGGGGGCAGAAAGCTAGAGTTTGAACATGTGTGGTCGCCCTCTTGGGCCCCTCTTGGTGCCGTCTTGGAGCCCTCTTGGGCCGTCTTGGGGACCTCTTGGGCCGTCTTGGGGCCGTCTTGGGCCGTCTGGAGGCCGTCTTGGGGGCCTCTTGGGCCATCTTGGGGCTATCTTTGGGGCCTCTTTGCCCGTCTTGGAGCGTCGGGAAGCCGGAAAGGCGGACAAGCAAAAAACATCGAAAAACACTATGGACAATCAACAATTTTAGACTCTTGGGGCCCTCTTGGGAGGCTTGTTTGGGACCTCGGGGGCCGTCTTGGAGACCTCTTGGCCCGTCTTGGGGCCATCTTGGGCGTCTTGGAGCGGTCGTTTGGCGTCTCGGGGCCTGCGTGGGCCGTCTTGGAGGCCTCTTGGGGGCTTCTTGGCCCGTCTTGAGGCCCTCTTGGGCTCGGAGAAGCCCCGTGAAGCGCTCGTCCCGGCCGTGCTGCGCTCGTCCCGGACCCCCCCCCCCCCTCCAAATCGGCCCTCTTGGGCCGTCTTGGGGACCTCTTGGGCCGTCTTGGGGCCGTCTTGGGCCGTTTGGAGGCCGTCTTGGGGGCCTCTTGGGCCATCTTGGGGCTATCTTTGGGGCCTCTTTGCCCGTCTTGGAGTGTCGGGAAGCCGGAAAGGCGGAAAAGCAACAAACATTGAAAAACACTATGGATAATCAACAATTTTAGACTCTTGGGGCCCTCTTGGGAGGCTTGTTTGGGACCTCGGGGGCCGTCTTGGAGACCTCTTGGCCCGTCTTGGGGCCATCTTGGGCGTCTTGGAGCGGTCGTTTGGCGTCTCGGGGCCTGCGTGGGCCGTCTTGGAGGCCTCTTGGGGGCTTCTTGGCCCGTCTTGAGGCCCTCTTGGGCTCGGAAAAGCCCCGTGAACCGCTCGTCCCGGCCGTGCTGCGCTCGTCCCGGACCCCCCGCGCTCGTGCCGGACCCCCCCCCCCCTCCAAATCGACCGGACCGGGCTCCCGGGGGAGGGGTTTGGGGAGGGGGAAGCATCTCACACGCCGATGATCCCCAAGGGGTCGGCGGATTTACTTATGATGATGACGATGATGCTTATGATGCTGCTGATGATGACGCTGATGAGCCTGACGATGATGTGGATGATGATGATGGTGACGGCGATGATGATGTTGCCGGTGACGTTGACGTTGTTGTTGATGATTTTGACGATGTCGATGATGTTGATGATGGTGATGATGGTGGTGATGATGATGATGCGTTGATAATGATGATGCTGATGATGATGATGATGCCGATGATGATGATGATGATGCCGATGATGATGATGATGTTGATGATCATCATGATGATGATGATGATGGTGTTGATGATGATAATGATGCTGATGCTGATGCTGATGCTGATGAAGATGATGGTGATGATGATGATGATGATGATGACGACGCTGATGATGATGATGAATATGATGATGATGATGATGTTGCTGATGATGATGATGAGGATGATGATGATGATGCTGATGATGATGATGATGATGATGATGACGCTGACGCTGACGATGACGATGGTGATGATGCTACCGACGCCGACAACGCCGATGACGACAACGGCGATTGTTAGCCAATCGCTTCGCTCATCCCGCCGGCTCATTTTTGGGCACTGCTGCGTCGACTGGCCGAGTGGTCGTTGGCGGTGTTGAGCTGCAGGTGCGTCGGCTGTTTTCTGAGGCGTTGCGTGGGGCATGATGTCGGGGCGATTCGCCTGGATTTCTTGGGAGTTGTCAGTGGAATCGGTCGCTTTGCGCGGGGCGGCTAGTTGTCGGGTGCCTTCGTGGGGGTTTGCTGGTCGTGGATGCTCACTCTGGGGCTTGTCGATGGGGCGCAGGGGACATTTGATGCGGCGGTGTTGGGGTCTTCTGGCAGGTGTCGCGGAAGCCTTTTGGAGGCAGTTTTGAAGCTTTTTGAGTCCTCGTCAGGGCCGTTTGGGTGCCCTGGGGGCCTCATTTGGGCCTCTCGTGAGTTTCTTGGGACTTCTGGGTGCTTTTTGGAAGCCTGCTGGCGGTCTCCGAGGGGCCCCTGGGATCGGAAAGCTGCAAATGTAATTTCGAGTTCCCTCTCTTGGGGCGTCTTGGGCCGTCTTGGAGCCTTCTTGGGCCGTCTTGGATCCCTCTTGGGCCCTCTTGGGCGCATCTTGGGGGCATGTTGGGCCATCTTGGGGCCATCTTGGGGGGTTTTTGGGCAGTCTTGGACGCTGTGAGCCTCCGCGCGTCGTCTATGCCAGAAATGTACGTTTTATTTGAGACGTGTGACGATGTTTGCTTGTTTGGGCTCCTTGGATGGCCTCTTGAGGCTCTCTTGGAGCCTCTCGGCGGCGCCTAGGGCCGTCTGGAGACCAGCATGGGCGTCTTGGAGCAATCTTTCGGCGACTCGTGGCCCCTTGGACCGTCTCGGGGGCATCTGGAGCGCTCTGGGAGGCCTGGAAGGCAGCGCCGATTAGGAAAACCATCTCTGAGCAGCAATGGCCAGGACCTGCCTGGGGTACATTTCGTCCGGGAGCCCCAAGAAGCCGCCCCGCGCGCTTGAATTAGAATGTATTGTTAACCAGTTACTGGATATCTTAGCACGCCTCTGGCCCGGTGGGCCGGCGATTTATCATGGTGATAAAGACGGTCAAGGTGATGAGGATGAATGTTTAGAGGGCACGGGGGGTGGAAATGAGAGACATGACGAGGATGGTGATAAGGAGGAGGTCCAAGAGAAGGAGAAGGACGAGGGCAGATGAAATGGTGAGGCAGGCAGAAGGAGAGAGGAGGGGGAGGAGACATAAGAGGAGGAGGAGGAGGAGGAAGAGGAGGAGGGGGAGGAGGAGGAGGGGGAGGAGGAGAAGGAGGAGAAGAGGAGGAGGAGGAGGAGGAGGAGGAAGGAGGAGGGGGCAGGGTGGGGGTGGGGGCGGGGAGCACGGACGAAACCCAGCAGGCTCTGGTGGAGCGGCAGAGCGACGCGGAGGGGTGATGCACCCTGGCCTGCGTGCGCCAGGGGGCCGGCGTGCCGCACCCGCGGACTCCCGCGTGGGGTGTTTTGATTGCCTCCTCCGCCCGTTTTCCTCCTCCTTCTCCCCCTCCTCTTCCTTTTCCTCCACGTCCTCTTCCTCCTCGCCCGCTTCCTCCTCCTCCTTCTCGCCCTCCTGGCTTCGTCATGATCCCCCACTCCCTCCCCTCTTCCCCCTCCTTGCCCATCTTCCTGACGAGCTCTTCGGCCTCGTCCTTCTCCTGCTCCTCCCGCTTCCCTGGCTTGAGCGATAGTCCCCGCCTTCTCGCTCCCGCTTTGCCTGGGCTGCCGCGGTGTTTCCATGGGCCTCTGTTCCAAGGTGATTACGTACATTGCGCGCCTGCAATATTGGCGCCTCCTTCGCGCCTTTTCTGCAGTCCGCTTGCAGAAACATCCACCTTCACATCAATTCGTACATTACATCCTCTAGTTGGTAGCTGAGCTTCGGCTCATTTCCACGGCCGCAATGGTTTTTCATTCTCGCCCCGCGTCGACCGCTCAGGTTTCAGCTATCCGTCGCCTTCATGCATCCAGCACCTCATTATGTTGGACACGCCGTAGCGCCTCCTTTGCCTTTGCGCACTACTGCTAAGCCCCCTTCGGGCCAGTCCCCCTTCCGCCTCCAAGACAGGTGAAAAGGCAGCGTTTGCAACCAGTACCATTACCTGAACAGAACCACCAAGTACATCGAGGACACCGGCCGCGCGCTGACTCCCTCCCTCATCATCCTCTCCAGGGCTCGCACTGACTGTGTGAGCGCAGCTTGCGGACCCACCTTTTTCGATACGCCCGTCCGTTGGAATAACCACACATGTGGGTGTCGTAAGAGTAGCCACACACGTGGGTGTGGACGTCAGCGGCGTCGACAGTAATTCGGGGCCCGAACTCTTGGCGATCGTGCCACGAGAGCCCCGGGACGAGCAAATAGAGAAGAGCGGGAAGTCAGTGGAGGGCCTAGCGACTGTTGGCAGCACCCTGGGGGGCCGCAAAACGGTTGCGGGATTATCCGTAACCGATTTCCTGGTCGCCTTGCCCTGTCAACCTCTGCGGTCTGGAAGGGCAAGGTCTCGACGCATGTTCTTCTTATCGATCGCGCAATTGGTGGTCCTCGGTGCAGAGGCAATACGGCCAACGAGGAGCATGCCCAGGATTGTGTCGTGGGAGGTTACGAGTAGCCAGAGCGCCGCAACCACGCGACGGCGGTTTGCGCCCAATGCGCAGACGAGGAGGAACACGTCCGGGGCAAGTATCCACGGCGGCGCAGAGGCCCCTTGCAAGAGCATCGCCGCTGGTGGACGCCTGGTCTCCAGCACCTCCTTGAGACAGATCCCTTTGTGCCGGCCGCTCCACTTGCCGACGCTGCGACGATGAGGGGCGCCCCGTCTGCTTCGAGGCTTTGCAGCACGGCGAAAGAGCGATGCGCCTGCAGTGCCGCCGCGTCTCGCGCCGCGCATGCCAGACGCCCGCTGGGCGTGCTGTCCAGCATGCCGCGGCCCAGCCGACGTCGCTGCCGATTCCTGCTCCAGTGGTGCAGATCGGGCGCCGACGGATGCGGGACTCACGGCATCGGCCCACGCGGCAGCAGACAGGGGCGCGCTGGAGGGCACCACCGCATGACGTCAAGCAGTCTCCTCGGCGGGCCCCTGGCCCCGGGGCGCCTCGGCCAACCCTCGCGCAGTCGCTAGGCAGCGCTCCCAGCTTCGCGTCGGTCGTGGTCGCGACGGCGCCGCGCGGCGCCCGCTTGGAGACGCGCGCGCCGCCGCGCAGGCCGACGCTCCCGAGGTGGTCGACCTTGCCAGGTAAAGCGCAGGTTAATCGCGCCGTTCGCCGTGCTACTTGACGAGCACCGATCAACCAGGTGGCCGGTTAGGCGTCATTCGCTGCCCCGTCGCGACGACTGTTGGGCGCTTGCGCGACTTGGCAGCGCAGTGTGCGTTCTCCAGCCGCGGCGGGCGCCAGTGCTGACCTCTCTGCCCAATTGAGCCTGCAGTCCACGCGCTCCTGCAACGGGGTGGTGGAGACAGGCGTCAATCGCGAGCGCCTCGCCTTTCCCTGGCCAGGCGGCTACGTGCTCGCGCGGGCCCTCTGCTCCATCGATTTCGATTTGGAATCGGCGCCGAATGGGCTTTGCGCGCCCCATCCGACGACTTCGGCAAACTCCGGCCGCGCTCCGGGGGCCTGCTGCCCAAGCAGCTCTTGCTGCTTGCGGCGGGCAGCGACGCCCGGAATCGCCGCGACACCGACGGAAGGTCCAGCCCTTCAGCCCCAACGCGCGGGCACCTCCGCGGGGTGCGCCCGAGGCTGTAGGCTGCGAACTCTACGCCAGTACTGACGTCAGCATCGTGACCTGCGGTCGCGAACTGGACCCGACGGGGCGCACGCCTCCGCGTCGCCCCGCGATCAGGACTCGTTGTGCGTTCGCTTCCTACATCAATGTGTCTAGACTCCTCCTCCTGCTCCTCATCCCTCCCTCTTCCTCCTCCCGCCTCCTTCTCTTCCTCCTCGCCCTTCTTCTGCATTTTCTCCGCGTCCTCCTCCGCCCATCTGTTCCGCTCCATCTTTCCTGCCGCCCGCCGCCGACCAGGGCGAAGTCAACCACGTCCGCCGCATCGTGCTCGCTTGCGAACGAGACATGGAGGACTTCACCGCAGCGATGGACGCCGTGAACGTGGACCTCGACGAGGAGGGCCCGCCATACTTCATCGCGTCGCGAACAAGCGCTACGGGGGGATTCGCGATTTTTGGGGCCCTGGGGGTCCGTTGCCAGGCCCGGTGGGCCCTCGGGGTGGAAAGCCGGTCCCCGGGCAGGTGTCCAGACCGAGGGGTCCAGCCCATGAGCAAATCACCACGCCAGGGGGTCTGGGCCTCCTCCTCCTCCTCTTCCTCCTGCTCCTCGTCCTCCTGCCCCCCCCCCCGATCTTAATGTTGTGTTTGCTCTGTGCGAGCCGAAACAGTTCGGTGGCGCAACATTCTTTCGGGGGCCAGAGGAGGGGTGAGGCACTTCGCCGCGCCCTACCGAAACAGGGAAAAGAAGGACGTTGGGGGACGGAACACGAGGATGAGGAAGTGGAGGGGCCGGAGGTGGACACCGGGAAAAGGCCAGGAAGCAGAGGGGACGAGGTGGAGGGTTTCTCCGAAGGGTTTATGCGTCCCTTTTTGTTCCTCCTCCTCCTCCTCCTTGTCCTCCTCCTTTTCCTCCTCGCACTCCTCCTCCTCCTCCTCCTCCACCTCCTCCTTCTTCACGTTGTCGTCGTCCTCCTCCTCCTCCTCCTCATCCTCCTCCTCCTCCTCCTCCTCCCCCTCCTCCTCCTCCTCCTCCTCCATCCCCTCCTCCCCTCCTCCTCCTCCTCCTCCTCCTCCTCCTCCTCCTCCTCCATCTTTTCCGCCCCCTCTCCCTCCCCCTCCCTCTCCTCCTCCTCGGGTCGCCCATGGCACCGGGGGAAACCGTGCAGGACGAGGGGCGGGAGCAGGAGCAGGATCATCGAGAGAAGGGAGGAGGAGGGGGATGAGGAGGAGGAGAAGGAGCATCAGGAGGGAGGAGACCGGGGAAGGGGCCCAGGCGAGTCTGGAGGGGGGTCTTTCGTCCGCCACCCAGACCGAGCGGGACGCCCACCGTTCCACTCCTGTTCCCCCCTCTCATTCCATCTCTTCCGCCCTGGTCGGAGCTCATCCGTTTTGAGAGGCAGCGCCCCAGTGGTGGCATGTCATCGAGAGCCGCGAGGGGACGGGCGAGGCAGTGTGGAAGTCGCTTCTGGTGGCCCCACCTCTCACGACGTCCGCCAAGAGTCTTCCGCGGCCCTGGGGCATCTGCAGCAGGAGGAGGCAGACCGGGCCGTGAGGCCGTGAGCCATGCCCTCTTTCTCGTGGTGTGCGCCTTGCCTCGGGTGAGAACAGGCGGCAGAAGCAAATGTGTTCGGAGGTCCGCGCCCCTGGCGCGCACAGCGCGCCAGTGTCAGGCGATCGTAAACATTCAGGAGGAACAAAAAACACACAGACACACTTGATCGTCGATTTCCCAGAGGATATGGGAAGGTATTGAGAAGTGGGGGGGAAGACGAAAACCCAGAAAACATATCGAAAATATTGGGAATCCTGTTATCTGTGTTTATCTATTTGTGTGTCCCAGGGCCCCTTCAGACATGGATCAAGGAGGCGTGAATTAGCGACGGGTCCCGTTTCCAGTGGAAATCACGGATTTTTCCGCCGCCGACCGAGGCGGCACCGGCCGCATTTTTGGGGAGGGCACCTCCCCCGATCCATGGAGTTGGCGACCGCGCGCCAAATCCATGGATCGCCAATCCATGTTTGCGAGCCGCCGACAGTGAGGGTCCAGCGCCGATCCTATCACTGAGGCGCGGAGCTCTATCAGTTTGTGCTCAAATACGCCGTTGTTGTTCCTCCGCATTCCCTCCCTTCATCGCCCCGTCCCAGATGCGCGCCCGTGTGGACGCGACGCACTCCATCATCACCAGCAGGCAGCGCGTGGAGGCAACCATGACGGCGGAGATCTCGACCATGCGGCTGGACATCGGCGACATCCAGGAGGCCGCGCCGTCGGGGCTTGTCGAGGGGAAGACCCGGACCCCTCGGGTCATGAACAAAATTCATGACGGACGGTTGATTGATAGTTTTCGGGCCTTCGGAGCCCTTACCAGGCCTCGGGGACGGTAAAAACAACTCAGGATGGTCTCCAGGAAGGGGCCCAGACTTCCCTGGGAGTCCACGTCTTCATGAAACAAAGCACGACGTCAGGATCGGAGTGCAGGCAACTGGTGCTCGGCCCTGACGGGAGTCAGCCGCCAGCCACTCCCTTTATCCCCTTCTGGCTGGCCGTGTGGAGCCGACCCCTTCCTCCTCGACCGCACACAAGAGTGACCTTTCGCCGGAGTGACCCTTGGTGCGGGCCCGCTGGGGCCCCTCGAATCGCCAGGTGCTCGCCCGGGCTCGCGCTGGCTTGGGCCGGCCCGTGCTCGAGGGGAGGCGCCGGTCGCGCAGGTCCCCCGTCCCTGAGATCCTGGCGACTCAATTTTTCCGAGCCGGGCGTTTTCGCCTTGTTTTGGGTCCCGGGACCCTCACAGATCGATCCGGCTCGAAAAATGACGCAGAAAGACGGGCTCCAGAGCTCCAGGCGCGGATTTTCACGATGTTGAATTTTTTTCGTTACGTCGGATCTCAGGGGTGGGTTCCTTCAGCTTCCCCGGCTGGAGCCTCCCCCTCGGGGAGTCGTGGCTGGGGGGGTTCTCCACCCACCTCCTAGGTGTGAGCGGGCCGCTTGTTGGCGGGTCGCGGGGTTTGGGGCGCGCGGCATTGACGCGCATTCCCGCTGGCATGAGTTAGTGAATGTCAGGAGGGAAAAACACACAGACACAATCAACTGTCGACTCCCAGGAAAGTATGGGAAAATACGGGGCGTGGTGGGGAAGACGACAACCCAGAAAATATTGACAAATATTGGGAATCCCGGGATTTGTGTGTATTTATTTGTTTGTCCTTGGGCCCCTCGAGAAGGAGCGCGCGCGCTGCGAGGGCGCCGCGAGGACAGGCCAGGGAACCCCGCCCGCAGAGGCGCCGCCGGAGACGGGCAGGCTCGCCAGCGCGCGGGCGCGGGCGGTGCCTATAGGGCCGCGCGCCGTCCGGCTGCCCGGCCCCCCACCCCTGGGGGTGCCCGCGTCGCAACTCGGGTTGGCCCAAACCAGACCCTCTGGGGCAATGAAAAGTCACGGCGGGAGGTTTCTCCTTGCTGTCGGCCTCTGGAGGCCCGTCCTGGCCCTGGTCTTCGGGGCCGACAAGAAACGGCTCAGGTCGGGGGCGGCAGAGAGGGGGGTGATGACTAAGGGCGGTTGGATATCATGGCGGGGGCCATGATATTTCCTCATATTTCATGCCGCCTTTTCTTATTTCATTACGTCCCTGGCCTCCCCCCCGCTGGGCCGTGCACGTGCCGCTGGTCCTGATTTGCACCCCCCCCTCTTGTTGGCCGCTCCCGATCAGGACGAGAAACCGGTCCCGGGGAATGGGTCGAGACCTCGGGGGACGACGTAATGAACAAATCATGACGTCGGGGGTCCGGGAAGGGTGTCCACCGAAGAAATCGTCTCCTGGCTACCTATACGACCACCTTTTCAGGTGATAAGGATGTTCGGGGGGGGGACCAACGTCTCACTCGATCGGTCGCACTATCGATCTCACTATCAATCTCACGATCGGTTTTCCTCCATCGATCTCACTCGATCGGTCTCACAATCGATATCACTCGATCTAGTTCATTCGATCGGTTTCACAATCGATGTGACGATCGATCTCGCAATCGATTTCACTGCCGGTCTCAATATCGATTTCACAATCGATCTCACATTCGGTCTCACTATCGATATCACCATCGATACCGCAATCGATCTCACAATCAACGTCACCATCATCATCATCATCATCATCAACATAATCAACATCATCGTCATCAACGCCATCATCATCATCATCATCATCATCATCATCATCGGGGCACCATCATCATCACCACATCATCATCATCAACATCACCATCATCACATTTATCATCATCTTCGGGATACCATCATCGTCACCCTCATCATCATCAACATCATCATCATCATCGCGACACCATCATCAATCATCATCATCGGAACCCCACCATCATCATCATCACGATCATCTCATCATCATCATGCACAACATCTTCAACATCATCGTTTCCATCGGGACACTATCATCATCAGCAACATCAACATCATCACCATCATCGACATCAGCATCCCAATTATCATCATCATCATCAGCATCATCATCATCATCATCATCATCATCATCGGGACACCGGCGGGACACCGGCTGGACGCCGCGCGGCACCGGCCCCCGGAAAGGAAACATTTGGTCCGGCCGCGCTTCAGCAGGAGGCTGGACACCGGCGGGACACCGCGCGGCACCGGCCCCCGCAGAGGAATCATATGGTCTGGCCGCGCCTCAGCCGGAGGAGACTTTCTTCTCGCCCGCCCACGCAGTTTCGCCTCGCCCGCACGCACGGCACGCACGAACACGAAACCGAAACCGATTTCCCCGTAGGGGGTTCTCCGTTCCACTTCGATCTCACCTCCTCACCTCCGATCTTGAGACCATTCTTGTTGAGTTCTTCAAGTTGGAGCCATCTTGTATCCTTCCTGGGCTCCCCCGGGAGCGCCCTGCGAGCCTCCCCGACGATCCCAGAGCTTCCCCGCGAGTCCCTCGGCCGCTCACTCAGGAGCCCCAGAAGGCCCCCCCGAGAGCCTCCAATCGGGTTGGCCCAAAAGGGTGTCCAGCGACAAGGGGGTGGAGCGATAGATTTAGTGCGATCGATTTGTGTGGTTGCGATACATTTGGGGCGTGCAGTTCATTCCGGGGCGCAAGCGTATTGCTGTATTTTCGCGTGCAATGCAATATTTGCAACACAATGCAATACGATTTTCCGGCGCAGTACATTTGCAATACAATCGCCCCAAATGTATTGCACCACCCCCCTTCAGCTGGACACCCTTCTTGGTCACCCAAATCTGGGGTCGTGGCTCAAGAGACGGGGGTCTATGCGAACGGGGGTCAGTCAGCGCGCCGGATCTTGCAGGATCCTGCAGAGCCAGGGGCGCACCGTATCCTGCAAGGCCTGGCTGACCCGGGTCCGAATTGACCCGAGTCAGAAGTTCCCCGATGGGGAGCCAGAGGGCCCAGACGCCCTCGAATACGGAAAAAGGTGCAGCCAGAAACCAGTATCAGTATCCCCGAATCGAGTGTTTGTTTGAACCAAGATGGCTCCTCAGAGTAATCGCGCGTCCTCCAGCTCCCGATCCGCATGCGCCTTCGGCGTCGTCGTCGATCTTTCCGTCATCGCCGTCGTTCTCCTCCTCCGCATGTTGTTTTCCTTCTCGCCCTCCCCCCTTCCACTGCGCCTCCTTCCTATCATTCCCCACCCTCTCTTCCTCCCACTCCTCCTCGTTATCCTCCTCATCCTGATCCTCCTGGTCCTCCTTCACCTCTTCCTCCTCCTTTTCCTCCTCCTCCTCCTCCTCCTCCTCCTCTGTCTCCTCCTTTACCTCCTCAGATCACTCCTCGTTCGCTCCCCCTCCTCAATCCTCCTCGTCCTCCTGGTGTTCCTCCTCCTCGACGTGTTCCTCCTCCTCCTCCTTATCCTCTACCTCCTCTTCGCCCTACTTTTCTTCTCATTCATACTCCTGCTCCTCCTCCTGCCTCTTTTGCTCGCCGTGCTCCTCCTCGTATTCCTCGTACTCCTCCTCGTGTTCCGCGTTCTCCTCCTCCTCGTCGCAGTGCTCCTCTGCCTCCTCCTTCCCCTGGTAATGCTTCTGCTCCTCTTCTTCTTCCTCCTCCTCCTCCCCCTCATCCTCGTCCATCCCGTCATCTTCCTCCTCCTTCTTATCGTCCCGCTTCTGTTCCGCTTACTACGCCATACCACGGATGCCTTCACACTCTGGAAACAGCTTCCGGGAAGCGTCCTCGCCATGAATGCGCTCCAACAACTAGTTTGGATTCGGTCCCGTCTCCCTCGCTCATTATTCATGTTTCCTCTTTCTGTTCTCCTGCCCCATCCTGCCGCCTCCCTGCGCACCGCGCCATCGCTCGATGCATCTTCACGAGTTGCTCAAGCATTGCACCCAGCTGAGAAACCCAAGACGCGCGTTCGGGCTTCAGCGCGAGCTACCTCCTCCGTCGGGCCAGGGGCACCCAGACCACTGCCAGTGCACAGTTTGACAACATGAGAGTCATCGAATGGCTGGTTTGTGGCTTCTTCCCTTTCCCCCCTCCCTCCTCCCTCTCGCAGCCCAAAGTGTTGAGGATGTCTCAGGGGGGCCAGGCCAGAGCACCTCGTGCGCAGCATCTCTGAGCTCGGACTCGCCAGATTGTTCCAAGTGTAACGGGCCAGACCTAGGCAGACGAGAACTACACCCTCGCGCACATTTGCAGCCAGGAGTTGCGAGGATTTCTCATGCGAACAGGGCTGGAGGGCTGTACCACCTCTCGAGCGGCATCTCGGAGACCAGAGTTGCGAGGATGTTTCAGCTGAAACGGGCCGGACCACTTTGCACGCGACATTTGGGAGCTCAGAGTTGCGAGGATGTCTCAGGCGGCGCCCACAACGCATCTCAGAGCACAATTCGACAGCAAAATTGTAATCAAGTGGTTCGATTGGGTCTTACCCCTCCTCCCTCCTCCTCCCTCCGCCAGTCTTACAACTCCTCCCTCCTCCCTCCTCCCTCTTTCTTGAAGCCCAGATTTCGAGGATGTCTCGGGCGAAACGCGCCAGACCACATCGCGCGCGGCATCTGGATGCCCAGCCAGGGTTGCGACGATGTCTCAGGCGATTCGGGCTGGACCACCTCTCGCGCGGCGTTTTCGAGCCCAGAGTTGAGAGGATGTCTCAGACGAAACAGTCCGTACCACCTGCCGCGCGGCGTTGTAGAGCCCAGAGTTGAAAGGATGCCTGACGCAGAGCGCGCCTGAACACCTCTCGCGTGACGTCTTGAAGCTAGAGTTGTGAGTTTATCTCAACCGAAACAGGCTAGCCTATCTTGTACGCAGCATCTCGGAGTCCAGAGCGCTGGACCACCTCTCGAGCCCAGAGTAGTCAGCATGTCTGCGGCGGAACGCGCCAGACCACCTCCCGCGCGGCAGCTCAGAGACCAGAATTGCCAGGATGTTTCAGGCGAAACGCGCCGGACCACATTGCGCGCAGCAGCTCGGATTTCCGAATTGTGAGGATGTCTGAGGCGAAACGCGCTGGACCACCTCTCGGGTCCAGAGTAGTCAGCATATCACAAACGAAACGCGCCAGAACACCCCGCGCGCGGCAGCTCGGGGCTCAGAGTTGCGAGGATGTTTCAAGCGAAACGGGCTAATTACACCATCTCTCGCGCGGCAGTTAGGAGACCATAATTGAAAGGATGTCCAGCGATAAACGCCAGACCACCTCGCGCGCGGCATCTAGGAGCTCAGAGTTGCGAGGATGTCTCAGGCGAAATGTGCCAGACCAGCTCGGGCGCGGCATCTCGGAGCTCAGAGTTGCGAGGAGGGCTTGCGCGAAACGCGCAGGGCCACCTTGCGCGCGTCATCTTGGAGCGCAGAATTGCAAGGATATTTCAGGCGAAACGATCTGGACCAACTCGCGCGCGGCATCTCGGAGCCCAGAGTTGTGAGGATGTCTCAGGCGAAACGCGCTGGACCACCTCGCGCGCGACATCTCGGATCCCAGAGTGGCGAGGATGTCTCAAGCGAAACGGGCTAGACCACCTCTCGCGCGGCAGCTAGGAGTTCAGCTCCGTGAGGATGGCTCAGGCGAAGCGCGCCTGACCACCTCGCGTGTAGCATCTCGGAGCTCAGAAGTGCAAGGATGTCTAAGGCGGAACGCGAGGGACCACCTTTCGCGCAGCCTCCCAGACTTGCAAGGATGTCTCAGGCGAAATGGGCTGGACCACTTTTCGCGCAGCCGTCTGAATCTCAGAATTGTATGGATGTCTCAGACGAAACGGGCTGAACCAGTATGTAGGCGCTGAGATTTGGGAGGATGTCCCAGGCGAAACGCTCCGGACCACCTCGCGCGCGTCATCCCGGTTACCAAAATTGCGAGGGTATATCAAGCGAAACGCTTAATCTTAGCCAACTCATCGAGAACTGTTAGGCTGTCTCAAACAAAACGGCCGGGACCACCACATTTTTTGTGGATGTGTCTGGGCGCTCCTCGACCGGAACTCGTTACGACCACAACAGAAGCCCCTTTTCAGCAAGCTACTTGGGGAATCACGACGGGAGGTTTTTCAGTATCTTTGGCCTTTGGAGGCCCTCGCCAGTCCCTGGGACCGTCAAACAATGATTCAGGATGACAAACCGGTCCTGGGGAATTGGTCGAGACCTCCGGGGGTCGACGTCATGAAAAGACTATGGTGTCGGGGGTCTGAGATGGCATCCGTAATTCATGTTTTTGGCCCCCTCAGTTTCTGGCGACGGGGATTGTGATCGAGTAACCCAGCCGCCAGAGCTCTCGACCCACAGGGCACGCTGCTTTTCCTGCCGAGTCGTTGCTTGACGGTCCCGGGGCCAAGGAGACGGCTCCCAGACGCCGAGAGTGGGGAGCCGCTTCCGTTGCGATCGCCCTTTGGAGGTCGCCCCCCCCCCCCCCCCTCCGCGCGGAGGCCCTCAAGAACCACGACTCCTGGATGGAGGACGTGTCCAACACGCTGCAGCAGATGCAGGAGAAGGAGGAGAACCTCACCGAGGACGGCCGCCGCCACCTCCCTCTGAACCTTCTGGCGCCGCTCCAGCTCCTTCCGCTCCGCCGCCGCCCTCGTCGCCCTCGTCGCCCTCGTCGTCGTCGTCGTCGTCGTCGTCGTCGTCGTCGTCGTCGTCGTCGTCGTAGTCGCCGTCTTGCTGCTCCGTCTCCTCCTTCCGGTCCTGCTCGTGCTCCCGTTCCTGCCCACCAGCACTTTCCTCCTCTCCTCCTCAACCCTCTTCTCCTGTTCTTGCCTCTGCTGCCTGGGAGCCCTGCGCCGCTGAGCGGTGCAGGGTCTGCTCTCATACGACCCTTCGTTGCTGGAAGACCCAGTCTTACCCTCGCCGTGCCCAATCCAATCCTGCCTCTGCTGCTGCTGCCGCCGTTCTGCCGCTACTCTTCTGCTGCTCGTCCCCTACCCCTTTTCTCATCCTGCGCCTCATCCTCCCCTGCCCCACCTCCTCCGCTCCTCTTCTCATCCTCGTCCCCTCCTCCCCATTCTCATCGTCCTTCTTTCTCTCCTCGCCTCCTCCTCGCCTTCCTCCTTCCGCCTTCCTCATCCTCCTTCCTCTTTCTGCTTCTTTTCCTCCGGGACGGAGCAGCAGGACAGGCCCCAGGGCGATCCACAACCCATTCCCATCCGCTGTGGTGTTGCGAGGATATCATCAACCTGAAGAACGAGATGAACACGAAGCTGGACACCAAGGCTGGCGCAGTCGGGGCATGGGGCACCTCCAGCCGGGGCTCGAAAATGCCTACGGTGGGACAAGAGGGCGGCAGGGGGGGGGGGCGAGGATTGAGGATCGAGGTTCGAGGATTGAGGATGGAGGGTTCGGAGGGCTCTTTTTGTGCCTGGAGAGGCCTCCGAAGGCTTCGGGGCGCCTCAGGAGACTTTCTGGAGACTTTGGGGGACCTCCGGAGGAGGCGGGGGAGGACCGGTGGGCGAAGCGGAGGGGGCGTCCTCGTCCTCTGCCCTGCTCCCCCTCCTTTTCCCACTTCGTCTCCTCGTTCCTCCTCCCCCTCTTTGCTCCTCTTCGCCGTTCTCCTCCTTCCCCAGAGTGCCCCCTTGTCAGGGCGTGCGCCCGCAGGAGCGGGGTCAAGAGGCTCCCCAAAGCGCCAGGGAGCGCTCCAGACAGGAGCTCTCCCTGCGGGAGAGAGGCCTGCTGGAGCCCCTCGAGAGAGAGAGAGAGGGTGCTCCCGAGGCTAGATTTGCTGAAGATCTGTTCGCATCGGGCGCCCTCCGTTGTGCCCGGCGGAGCGCTCTCGGGAGTTCGTCCATTCCTCCTCTCCTGTCCCGACGGCGTGCCGTCTCTTCCCACATCCTCAGATCCATGACGCTTCGCATCAATCTCCCCACCAGCCCATCTAACAATCACCAGGCGAGTCGCCCTGATGGGATGTGTAGCAGCATGCAGTCACGCTCTGGGAGCCACTTGGGGACAGCTTGGGAAATTCGTTGGGCTCTCTTGGAGTTCTCTTGGGGCAAGTCATGTGTAATGTGTGGCTCTCATTGGGCCCACTTGGGGGCCTCTTGGGGCCATTTGGGGGGCCATCGAACAAAGACGGGGGCAGCGTGAATTTCGCCCCCCGCCCCCCTCTTGAAGTGCTCTTGGCGCAGTCTGTGGCCCCTCTTGGGCCCCGCTGGGGCTCCTCTTGGGGCTCTTGGGCAATCTTGGATCCATCTTGAGACCTCAAGAGCCCGTCGGAAGCGAACATGCGAGGAGACAAACATGTAGATTGTCCGTGGTCTCTGAACGGATTTTGGCCTTTCGGGGGGGTCCTTGGGGGAAGCTCCGTGGCCGTTTGGAAATGTGTTGGGGCGGTCTCGGGGGGTTCTTGTAGGCATGTTGGAAGGTATCAACCATCTTAGGGTACCTTTGTATTCTTGGAGGCTATATTTTGCTATCTGGGTCTATCTTTTGCCAAATTAGAAGCTCTGGCCGCTTGGGGCCCTCCCCTGCAGATCTATTGAGAGGGGCCAGGGGGATTGGTAACGTCGTCCCGAAGGGAAAGAGGGGGATTGGAAGAAGTAAGTTGCTAAACCACCTGCGTCCAGGGGGCAGGTGGGATTGCCCTAGTAGATCACAGTACCGTTGCAAGTCCGTTCGGGGGCCGGGCGTGACCCCCGGGATCATTTTGGGATCATTTCAGTAATGGCTCCTGAGATTATTCCGGGGCCCTGGAGTGTCACGCAACGTCAAGATCAACTCGTCCAGTACCAGGAGGGGGGCAGAATGGTTCGTGCGACTTCGCTCTCCTGCCCTCCATCATTATCCTGCGTGTGGACACGGTGGTCTGGAGGCAGGCCAATGGCTACGTTTCTCTTTCCACAGGCCTGTACGGGCCGAGGTGGGATAGTGTAGCAGGTCCCATGCATTCCGGGGCCCCCGTCTCGGCCCTATTTTGCCGACGGCAGCCGTGCAACCGTAAATATTGCTTTGGGGCCGATTGGGGGCTCGGGTCGTGTCAGACAAGGCCACAAGTAGCACGTGCAACCCCAGGAGAGAGGGTGGGAATGTTGAAATCTGTTTCGTCCCTCTCCACCTCCTTCTCCTCATCCTCCTCCGCGTCCTCCTTCCGCAGCCACTTGGCTCAAGCACCATTCTCTACTGGACCAATGCCCCCTTCTGGATTCCCTAACATTGTCTCATCCAGAAATGGTTTGTTCACTGTTTCTTACTCGTGCTTCTGTGGTCATTCTGATCTGTTTGTCGGTCCTACCCGCGCAGGGCGTGAAGATACCCACTGGCGCTCAGCATACTGGTTCCAGCCTTGCCGATCTCGCGCAGAGTGAATCTATAGATTTCAGCTTTCTTGGCACCGGTCAGAGCGAACGCGCAGATGCTGACCACCGCCTTGGGCGCAAGCCTTGGTCGGTCGAACACCAAGACAGCGTCGCCACGATAACCGCTTTTCAAGCTGGTGTTCAAGAGTGTATCAGGAAGCACAAGTTCAGAACCGATTGGCCAATTGTTGTCACATCCGTGGACTCGAAGTACAACGATATTACGAAAAAGTGGGCGGAACGCAACGAGGACATGGGTGTGTCGCAATACTTCCTGATAGCCCTTGACAGCGGAGTTGCCGAGATGGCAGCATTGCTTGGTTACCCTGCCCTTTCCCCTGATGGGAAATGTGTGTCCGGTCACCCCTCTCACCGAATGCCGGCCCCGGAGCCAGGGCCTCTGCCTGGTCTCTTGTCTGCTACCAAGTTTATCGTTCCTGCACTGCTCATCGGGGAGGGCTTCCAGAGGGTTGTGTTCAGTGAGATGGATGTGTTTTTCAGGGTGAACCCTTTCAAAGCAACCGATCTGTACGAGGGACGCTTTCTGGCAATGGCGTCTCCGAGCGACCCAGACATTGTAAACATCGGCTTCATGGAGTTCAGGGCACCCGAGGGTCAGAATGAGATGAGGAACGAATTCCTCGGCAAGCTCACGTCGCTGTCAATCACGATCATGGAGCGAAAGGATACCATGCGTGTGATAGGAGCAGACCAAGACGTCTTCAACAAATTCATTCGGTACTACAAGATGTACGCTGGAACCTTGTTTTATCCGACACTGCTGAACACTAGGTCCCCAGAGTTCTTTGCAGTCCATCCTGAGGCAGACACGGAGATTACGAAAATAGCACACTTCACAAACTGCGTGCCGAATCCCGAGTGCAAAATCGACAAGTTGAACAAGTTGTACGCCCAACAGTTCAAGCGGTGATTCAGACGTATTTGAACATGTCATCTGAGTAAATCAATGTCCTCAGCCAGGCAACCTTTTGAGCATGTCACATTATCCATCTTAGTGGACGCCGACACGATATGCTGACGCAAACGCTCCTCCGCGTCCTCCTCCTCCTGCTCCCTTTTCACACGGCCCCAGAGGTCTGTGAGGTCTCCCTAGGTCTCCAGAGGCCCCCAGATGTTCCCAGGGGCCGCCGGACCTCAGGTCTCCAGAGAGGTGCCTGGATGTTCCCAGAGGCCTGCGGAAGCCTCCAGAGGGGTGCGAAAGACGCCCAAGAGATTGCTATTTCAATCGTTGAACCTGTAACGTCCGGTACGGGGGAATCACCCCCCCCCCGGGAGTAGTGGTAGCGAACGTGCGGGAGGGACGTTGTCGTCATCACCGTCGTCGTCGTCGTCCGTCATCACCGTCGTCGTCGTCGTCGTCACCTTTCTCGTTCTCGTCATCGTCATCTTTCTTGTCGTTGTCGTGATCGTCCTCGTCGTCGTCGTCATTTTCGTCGTCTCCGAGGGCCTCGAAGGTCCTACAGACTCCTCCAGAGGCGCCCAGAGTCGTCGTTGTCGTCGTCCTCCTCGTCCTCATCCTCGTCGTCGTCGTCGTCATGCTCATCCTCGTCGTCGTTCTCGTCGTCGTCGTCGTCGTCGTGCTGGTGCTCGTCGTCGTCGTCGTCGTCGTCGTGGTCTCTCAGGGCCTCGAAGTGCCTCCAGACGCCTCCAGAGGCCTCTGGAGCCCTACTGAGGCCTTCGGAGACCTAGACACCTTCAGAGGCGGCCGTCGTCGTCGTCTTCGTCCTCGTGTTCGTGCTCGTCCTCGTCCTCGTCCTTGTCCTTGTCCTTGTCAATGTTCTCGTCGTCTTCGTCGTCGTTGTCGTCCTCGTCGTCGTCATCGTCCTCGTCCTCGTCCTTGTTCTTGTTCCTGTCCTCGTCTTCGTCGTTGTCAGTCGCCGTCCGGCGCCCGCCCGCCCGCCCGCGGGGCCCAGCCACATTATTGTTACCGCCCCACAGGGGCCCTCCCCCCTCCCCCCCCCGTAGCAGACGTTGCGGTGGAGACATTGAAAAAACAATGTCGACGGATATCAATCCTGGATCCCCCATTCGACGCAGACAGACAAATATGGCAGAGTTAGACATAGACATCCAGAGTCCCTCGCGCTGGCGGCGCCTCCGTCCTTGGCGTGCTTCGAGCTCAAGGGGCCCGGCTCCGCCCCAAGAAATCTGCGCGGACGCACGAAAGTTTATGCTTGTGCAGTTTCTTTTTGTTCCTGTGACCGACGACGATGACGATGACGATGACGATGACGATGACGGCTCCGCCCCAAGAAATGTGCGCGGACGCCCGACAGTTTATGCTTGTGCAGTTTCTTTTTGTTCTTCTGACCGACGACGATGACGACGATGACAATGACGATGACGATGTGTTCGCACTTTAGCATTGGGAGTGAAACGTCGCGTCCAGGTCGACAACGTGGCCTGGAAGGAGGCCAACGACGACCTCGACGCCGCGGTGAAGACCGTGCGGGACATGGTCTCGTCGCTGAGGCTTGCGCTAAGTCGGGCCCGCTCCTCTACAGGAGAAATGCTCAAACATAGACAAAACATCGCCTGGGAGCGATTTTGTTTATCCATTTTTGAGTTGTTGTTGGAATATGTATGGAGCGGTTTGGGAATAGTTGCAGGGGGACATGGTCTGGTCTGCGGCGCCCGGCCCTTTTTTTCGTTTGCGTCGGTCGGGTGAGGCGAGGCGGGGCCTGCAGGCTCCTCGCCACGCCTTCAGGTGGCGGTGGTGGACAGAAGACCGGAGAAGAAGCAGCTACACAAACATAAGCTCTGGAATAGTGAGACGAGAAGATAAGCATTTCGAATCACACAACTATTCAAAAGATCGAGGAACATGTCGGAGAAGTAACTAACACTTTGGAACACAATTGTAAAACTATTAGACCGAAGAGAACAACTACGACAAGATCGAAGACCAAACTACATTCAACAAACTCGGAGGTCCGCCCGGATTTCTTGAATCCGCGCTGGGGACCCCCTGGCGGCGCCTCTGGCGCCGCCCCTTGCGCGCTCCGCGCGCCAGGGAGGGGTGTCCAGCGCAGATCCAAGAAATCCGCGCGGGCTTCCAAGAGTTCATGCTGATGCCCTTTTTTCCCTTCCTCTAGGGATGATGGGGCGGAGAGGGCATTCTGGTCGTTGTGTTTCTTGGGGGGGCGGCGGCTCGGGGGGCCTCCGGACTCCGTGGGAGACCTCGGGGGGGACGGGCGAGGGAAGGAAGGACGAGGGAGAAGAGGAGATCAGGACGAGGGAGAAGATCAGGCGATCGCACAACATGGATTTTAAGGGGGCGTGGATTCGCGACGGGTCCCGTTCCATGGAACATCGCGGACTTCCGCCGCCGACCGAGGCGGCACCGGCCGCATTTCGGGGAGGGCACCTCCCCAGATCCATGGATTTGGCGACCGCGCGCCAAATCCATGGATCGTTAATCCATGGTTGCGGGCCCCCGAGAAGAGGAGATCGAGCTCCGAAGTTTCAGGGTGTGCTTGGCTCTTCTTAGGCCGTCCAGGAGGCAGGAGCTTCTGGGGACCTCTGGAGACTGCGGGAGGCTTCAGGAGACCTCCAGAGGAGGAGGAGGAGGAGGAGGAGGAGGAGGAGGAGGAGGAGGGAAGGGGGATTAGGAGAGTTGTGTGGGCTCTTGGAAGGTTCTAGGCTCTGGGGACCCTCGCTTGGGTTCGATACAGAGCGTCCCAAGGCGGAAGAGCAGGAGGAACCAGGAGGTG